CTGGCTCTGCTCCAACGCATGTATAAGGATGCGCGAGCAGAGATAAGCGTGCTAAGGGCAAAAAACAAGGAGCTGAAGCGGAAGGCCACCGTGATGTTCCGATTTGGAGGGCCGCCAGATGCTGCAGTGGAGGAGTATGGGGGAGTGAACGTGCTCGGTGGACGAGGAAGCACGGAGACCGGACTGGCACGGGACACCCAAGATAAAAGTAAGAAGAAGAGACCTGCAGTAGAGTAGAGAAGAAAAAATGCCACTGGTTTGGTTTGTTGTTGGGGTTTTTTTTTTTTTTTTTTTTTTTTTTTTTTTTTTTTGTGGGAAGAATAATAAGAATAATAAAAAAAAAATAATAAGAAAAAGGTATTAATGGGAAAGCATGCGCTGGTGGGTGGAATAAAAAAAATGGGTGGAATAAGGAATCATAAAGTGCATGTGGGGCGGTGGGTTGGAAATTATTTAAAAAAAAAAAAAAGAGAGAGAGAAAGTGGGGGACAAAAGTGGATGTAAATAGGAAAAAGAAAAAGAAAGGAAAAAAAAGAGGGTTTAAAGTTTGGGTCCACAAATATAAATAAATTTGGTGGAAGCTGCTGCTTAATGTGGCCAGGGTTAATGATCCACCAGTTAGAAATTCACAGGAAACTTTCATGATGGAAATGCGTGCAGCTAGAATGGTTCAGGCAGCTGACTCATTACTTAAGTTGGTGTCGGAGTTGAAACAGACAGCAATCTTTTCTGGTTTTGCATCCCTCAACGACCATGTAGACCAAAGAATAGATGAATTTAACCAACAGGCGGAGAAAACAGATCACATGTTGGCTAGAATTGGAGAGGAGGCAGCTGCTAGCCTGAAGGAGCTTGAGTCGCATTACTATTCCTCTGCACAGAGGAGAAGCCAACTCACACAGCTATGAAGAAGGGCAGTGTATTTCTTGCTTCACTTATTCTCGAAGTCAATTTCTATTGTGGAAGGATTCAAAGTTTCTAATCACCGTTCTTCATCAAGCAACAAGAATCCTGTGTTTCTTTTTGTGCTGCTGTGTCTCTCTTTCTGCGTAGAGAGAGAGATGCATGCCGAGAGGAAGAAGAGGTGCCGAGAGGGACTTTGAAGGAAGGACGAGGTAGATCCCGTGCTTGTGATCGACGGGGAAGGGTTTGGATCGGACGGTGGAGGCGAAGATATTCAGTCCCTTTGGATGGAAGCTGAGTCGGCTGGGGAAGAAGCGGCATCTGCTTTGGAGCAGCTCCACGAGGCTTCGGTGGTGTTCATCACCATGAGAGAGAGAAGAGATCCTCCTCCCGCAAAGTAATGGTGTGTGTTGGTAGCGGCGGCACGGTGCTTCTGCGGAGGAGGAGCACGACTTGCTGACTGAGGAGCTAGATGAGGTTGATGATTAAACTGATGAGGGTGTTTTACGGTGGCAGATGTGGGGCTTCTGCGGCTGCTGAGTGAAGGTAGGTGTAGAGGTCCGGCGGGCGGCCAAGGCGAGACTGCCGCCCGCCGGTGAAGCAGAATGACTAGGTTGTTAACCTTGCTCTGATACCATGTTAAATTTATGTATTATTGATTGATTTCTGATTGATGTGTTTTATATTACAAAGCAGAGTAGCTCATTATATAGGAGAGGGTTTGGGTAGTAGGTGAGGAGTAGGTGAGGATAAATTGGTGGTAGGTGTAGTAGGTGTGGTAGTAGGTGGTGGTAGGTGTAGGTAAATTCTAACAAAAGCATTTATAAATTCTATCTAGGATTTTCATGAAAATATTATCCATGATTTTGAGGTGATTGATCATGCATGCTTTTTCTCCATGATAAGATTGTGGCTGATAGGATTAAAGTTTTTAGATATAGACGAATGTGGTAAATAATAGGTGTTGTGTCTGTATGTGCACGAACCCTTTGCTAGAGCTTAGTGGTGTGAAGGGGGCACATCTGCATGGGATACCTTTGAACATCCATCCCCATTAATTTAGGCCCATAATGCACAAATATATAGTTGAAGTTTTAGTATTTTTGGATATATGCAGTATGCTAACTGTGGTTTAAGTTCTTGGGACTTTTGGGGTGTGGCTGGGACACTTTAGGCTTACACTAGCATGGCTGATTGTCGAGCAGGGTATTATTTGAGTTATATGAAGACATTTGCAGATAGGCATGCATGACAAATATCTCTTTTCTTGGTTTTTTAGTGTGTTGTCTTGTGAGAGGTACCTGTGTCTTTCTTGCTACCCGATGTCTTCCTCGCCCATTGTATTTTCGTCATTTCCTTTATTGTGTTTCTTACTAATTTAATTATTGCATTTCTTATGTAATAGTTTTTTACTTGACCATGCAGACGATACAAGTGGGAGCTGCAAAAGTACTGTCTATTTTGTTTGTTCTCGCAGATTGTTCACAACCATATGTGTTTGGGAATGCATGTTTTGGTCTGGATGAAAAGAAGGTTTAGGCTCATTGTTTAAGGACCCTTGTTGACTTGCAAACTAAATGACTAGATTATTTGTTTCTAATTTAAATTCTTGAATCTTGTTGCCAGATTACATATCTTAGGCATTGTCTTAATAGCATTCTGTGTGACCAGTCTCCATCAAATGAAGATCTCTCTGTTGCTACATTTAAACTGCTCACTTCAGCAGCACATTACCAGGTTTGTTGATGTTTATTGCATCTTGAATATAATCTCTGTTGCTTAAATGGCTGAGTAAACAAAGGAATTAGAATTCCACAATTGTGTATCTGAGTTACTTTGTTCTGATTTTAATTGCAATTGGTTTGAGATATATTATGAACTTTATTTTTTTTTTTGGAACTTTACAATTGCATTCTGTTGCCATCTTGGAGAAAACCATGCATATTGAATTTGTATATGTACTTGCTCATGATAAATAGGTCAAGGACCAGAGTTTACTTTGATTTAGATGGCAAATTTAGAAAGATGTCTAGCCGTGCATGTTGTTTGTTGACAATATAGTTTGAATTGAGAAAACTAGTTGGGGGTTAATTCTAATTTAGAATTCTGATGAGACAAGTTAGAATCTGAAGGTTTTACTTTTACCTAAGAGTGTTCATTTCATATCTTATTACGAGGAAGGGGAAATTTACATGGATGTTTCTCATAAACTTAGAGCAGGATGGATGTAATGAATGGTGCTTTCAGAGTATTGTGTAATCTTGAAATTCCTTCTGAGTGGAAAAGAAAGTTCTATAGGACAACTATAATGCAAGTTATTTTATATGGTGCTAAAAATTGAGCATGTAAGAAACAAGATGTTCAAAAAAATGTATTTATTCGAAATAAGGATGTTTAGAAGGATAGATGGTGCTAAAAGAGACAATAGAATTAAAAAAAAAATATATCAATTATCAGAAATAGAATTTTAAAAAAAAATGGTTAATAATGGCATTGTACTTTTTAAAGAAGTTATAAGTGACACTAACACTGACTAAAGATAAAATTAGGGAAAGTCAATTACGATTTTTTTACCCTGTGCAATGTAGGTCAACACATTAGCATGAAAGTGTGAGCACTTAAGCACACATGAAACACATTACAAGTTTGAATAAAATAACTTGGAATTCAGTAATAAAAGAAAAACAATGTGAATTTATACCTATTCTCCTCCTCTAGATTTTAGAAATTAGTGTTACATTACATTTTGTTATTATCAAGCAGTTCAGTCCGAAAAAGAGATGTCTGCTTTCATTCTTGCTCAAGCTGAAGCTCAGTCAATTAGCTCAAGTTGCTTTGAGTTAAATATTCATTTACATGATACATAATAGTAATAATATATATGGCCTATTGCTTTCATTCTTGCTCAAGCTGAAGCTCAGTCAATTAGCTCAAGTTGCTTTGAATTAAATATTCATATACATGATACATAATAGTAATAACATATATGGCCTATAATAAATATATGTAAAATTATATATTTTGTGTCTCCCATGTGTCACGTGTATTACATTTTTTTTGAAAATATCTGTGTTGGCACGTTTTTGTCTGTGTCCTTGTTTGTGTCCATGCTTCTCAGGTGAAAACAACTTTTTTCCCCGTCAGATTTTGAAAAATTTGAAAACTATTGCCATTTTTGGAAATGAAAACAGCATGTTTTTGTTTCCAGTTTCTGAAATTTTTGTGAAAATAGAAAATAAAAACATTACCAAATGAGCCCTTACCTTTCAAAAGCTCAGCTCCCTTTAAGCCATAATTATGTCTCTGAAAGCCAATTGCGTCACTTTTCTTGCAAAATCAGTCTTTCATCTCAATAGTTTGCCATTGTTTTGCTTTCTTGGCATTGTTTACCTGTTAACAGTTTTCTATTGCAGCCTGCTTTTATTGTTGCTGTAATTGCTGCCAAGGAAAATGCAGATGTCAAATTAAGTGATGCCACTGGTGTGAAGCAATCAAATGAAGCTACTGTTGGGTCATTGGGCTCCTCAGATGCAAATCTTTTGGTTGCAGTTCTGCAATATGTTGGGCAATCCACTGATCTTGTCAAAAGGTACTGCTTTCATTATTACCATGTGTCTGAAGTCCCATTAATTTGATTTTATCAGTGTGTTACTGTTATTTCTCAATGGATGATGGAGTGTTCTTTATTTCCAGCAATCCGTGTGTACTGTTGAATGTGCTAAATTTCCTCAAGGCATTGTGGCAAGGAGCTGCCCGGTTTATGAATATTTTGGACTGGTTGAGAAACTCAAAAAATTTCTGGAAACAATTGTCCAACTCTATTCTGCAAGATGCTAGTATGGAAGGTAGTCTGTCTGAAAATCTAAATGAAAGGGAGTTTCTAAACATAGCATACAGGCATCAATGTCAATCTGCTGTTCTGCAAATAATGGCTTATGAGACGTTCCTGCAGAAGAAGTTATTACGCGCAGAGTTGCTTGTAAAACAAACTAATGAATCATTGAATGATAGAAAAGAGAAAGCAGTTGAAACTGAAAAACCAAAAGATGCAAGTTTTCTTGGTCTCAAGGATATTTTGTCAACCTTGCGTGAAGGCTTAGTTTTGGCCAACCTGATCAAGTCATATGCATCATGTGAATATGATAATGACATATATCTTCGTGCAAAGGTGGGACTAATATTCCTTTCCCTTTGTTTTTGTTTTTTTTTTTTGAAATATAAATTCCTTTTCTTATTGGTCAAACTCAAAACACAGTATAAGCCTCCCTGCTAATAGCAGGGGTAATATCACCCGTCCCTGGCCCTGCTGTAAAGCGCGAGTCTTGAGCATTGCGATGTTGAGTTAGGCACTTTTGCAATTTGTGAATTTCTGAGTTTGTAAATTATGTCTTTGTTCCGTAAGATGATGGTATGAGTGAGAGTTTGAAGAATTTCCTTGAACGAGATTTAATATGGAACTACTTTTGAGTCCGATAGCCCATTTTCTTTTGAAAATCTTGTCTATTTTTTGCACTAAATGTGAATTGATCCTTCAAATTTTGATGAATTAAAAACAATTTTTGAACTCATATTCAATCTTTAAAACTGTTCTTGTTCATGCCAACACTGGACATAGTTCTGGTAGGATTTGAAATGCTTGTGCAACTTTTTGATGTGTACCATTAATGTCAGTAGGTAAAAACGGGTTGATGCTCAATGGAGCACTTGAATGAGGTTTTGGGTATGATCTTCTAGAGGTTTTAATAATTAATTAGTTGTCTCCATGCCACTTTTCTTGGACTGCGTAAGTGTTGCCTTCTCCCAAAACATGTACCAAGATAGATCTACCATTCATTTAACCATTGAGACTTTGTTGGAATGCATACATCTTTTTCCATTTCTGTTTTGACTTATCTGTATGGCAAAGTTCTCATACATGTTCTTATTGTAGAAAGTTTTGATCGTCTGGATTCTTCATTTTATGTCTCATTCTGTTCTCTCACATCCCTGGGCTGCTATTTAGTTGTAAATGACAGCTATTGTGGGTTGTTATTATGGGCTTAAAGTTTGTTTTGCTGCTTTTATTCCAATGCAGAGGCAATTTGAGACTGGCTTCTAATATTTCTAATACATTTGTTCAAATTTGTTTTTGGTTATGAACAACTCTGCAGATTGCTGCTGGTTTATTGTCTGTGCATGTGATGGAGAAACTAAAAAATGGTGATACAGGGAGTTTGTCTGTCTCTTTAATTGAGAAGATTCACGTCTTGTTGAAAAAGGTATGATCCTCTCTAATGTGTAGATTTATTCCTCGTCACACTCCCAAATTACCTACAAAAAGGGATAAAAATGCTCTGTTGACATTTCTGCTATCTTATCTCAATAATAGTTATGCATGTTTAGTCGTACTAATAATAATAAAAAAAAAAGTTCTGCATTGTTTACTCCTTCGAGATTTGTAACAAATTGATATCATAACAGGAGGGTTCGTATTTTTCCCTAACACCCCCGTCCTCCTCTTTTTCTCTTGTCAAGATCACTTTACTAGTTTCATTTCAATTCATCTGTGTTTCCTATCTACAGTTGAGTGAGCTGCCTGCTTTTTTGGAATTGGTAGCTCAATATACACAGCATGGTTACAGGTTTGTGTTCTATGCTTAACTTGCATATGAACTGGATGCAGTTTGCTTCATCTAGTTTATTACCCCATTTTCAAGATTCTCATACATTTTATTTCAGTTATCCACGTTATACAAGGCATTGAATTTTCTCTTTAAGTGCTGTCTTCTAATTTCTTTTTATTTTCCTTTTCCTTTTGTTTCAGTGAAGGAAAAGAGTTGCACGGATTAATACTTAGTGATCTGTACTATCATCTACATGGAGAGCTTGATGGTCGTAAGATTGATCCTGGACCGTTCAAAGAGCTCTGCCAGTATCTGGTCAAGTCAAAATTTTTGCAAATGTATCGGCATAAGTACAATGGAGACCTTTTTGCACATGCCAAGGATGTCTACTTGTTTGACTCTTTACGTTTCCGAGCAGATTTGGGAATTGATTTGTGGGATTATTCCGAGTGGAAAGCATCCAAGGCAGTAGCAGAAACAATGTTGCTCTGTTTGCAGGATGCGAATTCAATGGTTTTGCTTGCAAGTTCTAAGCTTTCTGCATTAAAATCATTGATAACTATCTTATCCATGAATGAGGAAGATGTAAGTTTTCTGAATTCCGATTTCCATTCATGCAGTTATCATGATTGGACCTTTGGGACCTATAACTAGTTTGCTATTAATGGAGTTGTCTGAAATCTCAAAATGTTTCATATTAATAATTATTAATTATTGAGAAATTAAAATTTCAAAACGTTATTGAGATTTTTTTGCAATCAAGACAAGAAGAGATTGTCACGAAGCTTTACGCACATGTAGGAATAAGGAAATTTTTGAGTATATTAGTTAGCTAAAAGAGACATTAAAATGGTAGTTAAGGAAGCCAAGCAAAAGGCTTGTGAATGTGATAATATTTATTTTATGTACAGTACAATGGATGGAGAGAAATATATGATTTGTGAGGATAAGAGAGAAATTTAATGTATGTTAAAGTGTGGTAAGGTGAGGATGAGAAACTACTAGTTAAACTAAGACTAGATTGAAGAACGACATTGCTATTTTGACATGTTTGATAAAATATAACTTACTAGTATTTTAATTTTGCAAAATTAGGGGTAGTTGAGGTAAAAGAGGCTACAAAATGAAAATAGGGAGAGCTGTGGGACTGAATGGAATTTTTATTGAAGTTTCGATTGGAAGTGTTTGGGTGATGATTGGTTAACTAATTTTTTTAATAAGATCTTGCAAACTTATAAGGTGCCTGATGAATGGAGGAAAGTTATATTGGTTGCAAATTTGCTATGTGTAAGAGTAGGGTAAAACATAAGTGTAAAGAGAATAGTTCATCATATGGTATTTAATGACAGAAGATTGTACGATAAGATTCGAAGTGAGATAATGTGGAGAGTTTTGGAAATAAACAGTTTTCCATTGCATATACTAAATTGTTCAAAGACATGTATGGTGGAACCGTGACTAGTGTGAGAAAAATAGGGGAGTCTTCCAATAACAATAGGCTTACATTAAGGATCAACAAGTCCTTACCTTTTAACATTAGTTATTGATAAACATATTATGAACATTCAAAAATATATATATATATATATATATAATTTTAGTTAATGAAACAAGAGGAGCAGTGAACTCGAAACTATAATTTTTTAGATACTTTAGAATCTAAAGGTTTTAAAGTAGGACTAAGATAGTTAACGTAGGGTAATTTTCTAATTGGTTTATAATGCTGTGGTTAAGAACCAACCTATTATAAATTGAGTATAGTTAAACTGAAAATGTTGAGATGAATGAGTGGTGTTACAAGAATTGAATAAATGAATGCATCGAAGGTAGAAGTGGCACCAATTAAAGATAAAATGAAGTCTTATTTATTTGAAATGGTATGGCCATGTGAAATGTAGGCCAACTGACACACCTCTATGCTAGGAAGCACGGATATGATACGATACAGATACGGTGATAGGAAAAAATCTAAAAAAGTAGGATACAAATACGGTTAGGTTACATTTATAAAAATTATATTTTAAAAAAATTATTGGTAGTGAATGAGTTACACATAAACTCAAGAATGTTGAGAGACCACATTGTAATTTTATAATGCAAAACACTAACCTTTAAGAATTAGGTATTAATTTAAGACAGTTGCTTGTTTATTTTTAAATTTTTTAATATGTGTTATATCAAGTTTAATATGTTTATGTTATAATAATAGAACAATCCACAATTTGTTCTTATGCTTTTCCCTTTGGTATTAGTAAAAATATTATATTCAAGTTTACTTGCTTATTTATTTATTAATTTTTAATTTTGCTATTGTTATATTCTTTTGTCAATCCTTACTTTTGATGTAGTTAAAGAGGACATGTGTGAAACAATATGGATACATCAATTTAACAAATTTTATTACTTTGACTTTCACTATGTTCTTCTTATCAAATAACTAAAAGTATTAGGAGTAATATGTGAGTTGGAGTATCCGATACCTTAAAATTAAGTATCCGATACATATCTGTGAGTATCCAAGGAGTAGCGATATCCGATACAGATGCGATATGGATATGTCTCCATTTTGAAGTGTCCGTGCTTCATATAAGGATGAGTGATTTGATTCATGTTGAGGGGCCTAAAGAAATAATGGTCGGTTATGCGGGCATTGGTTTTTGGAGACAAATCGGATCCACCATCCAAGTAATTGACCCCAAGTAATTGGGACAAATGCGAGTTAAGCTCTATCTGAATTTTTTTGATAATTCACTTCCCAGTGTGTATTATTTCTTATATTGTAATGAAGTTTTGTGGGAGTTGTTATGCCCAGAGTGTGTATCCTAGGTTGATAAAATAATATAAACTGCTTAGGTTTTTTTTTTTTTTTTGAAAACAGTATATGGAAATTTAGGTGTGTTAAAAAATACTGTATTATTGATTGATTGATTGTAAGATTGTTGTGTAAATTACAGATGGTGAGGTACTAATTATATAGGAGAGGATTGGGGAGTAGGTGAGTGTGTGTGGTAGGTGAGTTGAGTGGAGGTGGTAGGTGAAGTGGGTGCTAGTGGAGATGGTAGGTTGGTAAATTCTAACAGCCCCCCGCAAACTCAAGGAGGATAGAAACTAACCAACTTGAGTTTGAAGAGAGGAACAAAACAAAAAAATACATAAAATAAGAAAATACATAAAAATAAAAATAAAAAAGATAGGGGACACTGTATGGTCGTGTCAGACCGTTGGTGAAGACTCTGAAAGGTGGTGCCATAACGTGGTAGAGGACACTGGATGGTGTGCCATAACGGTGTAGAGGACACTGGATGGCGGTGTCATAACGGTGTAGAGGACACTGTAGGGTGGTGTCATAACGTGGTAGAGGACACTGTATGGTGGTGTCATAACATTGTAGAGGACACTGTACGGGTGTGCCATAACGTTGTAGAGGACACTGGATGCTAACCGGAATCAAATGTCGGGACAGTTTATAGGGTCATGTCGGACCGTTGGTGAAAGTTGCACCCTCAAAAGGTGTGCCCAATTGTATCAAAAGGCGTGCCATCAAAAGGCGTGCCCACTTTATCAAAAGGTGTGCCGGATTCATCATGGCGAGGCACGTGAGTGCCTTGGTTGGCGTGCCCGTTTGTCTGGCGTCAAGAGGCGCGCGATGCGCGTGGCTGCCTCGGCTATAAGACGGAGGCTGAGGCGGAGGCAAAAAACACCTGCGAGAGATATGCTGAGAGAGAGTTCTGAGAGAGATTTTGTAACACTCTGTTTTCTGAGAGAGTTTGCTGAGAGAGATACTGTGTAACACTCTGGTGCCCAGAAAAATGGCTTCGTCTTCGTCTTCCCGTGGACTGCTCACCCTCTTTCCCGACCTCAACGAGTCAACAAGAGAGATAACTGGTGCGGTGGCACTGGAAACTCAACCAAGCGCCCCGGAGTTTACTCCGTTGAACTTTCCGATGCGGTCTGTGGAGCAAAGAATGGCAGTGCTGTCAGATGTGGAGGCCAATCAGTATACTCTGAAGGCATGTGTGGAAAGCATGACGGCGGTCACAAATTTGTCGAACCGGCTGCAGAGTAGGACAAATGAGGTGCAGCATGTAAACTCCCAGCTGGCTCTGCTCCAACGCATGTATAAGGATGCGCGAGCAGAGATAAGCGTGCTAAGGGCAGAAAACAAGGAACTGAAGCGGAAGACCACCGTGATGTTCCGTTTTGGAGGGCCACCAGATGCGGGAGTGGAGGAGCAGGGTGTAGTGATCATGCCTGGTGGTCTAGGAAGCATGGAGGCAACACCGTCAAGGGCCGCCCAGGACGGAGGCAAAAAGAAGAGACCGGCGGTAGAGTAGGTCGGTGGGTTCTGCAGAAAAGAAAACAAAGCTGTTGTTGTTGTGATGTTTTGTGTATTTTTGTTGTTGTTTTTGTGTTTTTTTGTTTTGTTTTGTTTTTTTTTTTTTTTTTTTTTTTTTTTTTTTTTTTTTTTTTTTTTTTTTTTTTTTTTTAAAATAATAATAATAATAGAATATAGTATAATAGTATGGTGAGAACAAGCCCACGAGTTGCTTTTCAAAAGATGGAGTAAAAAAATTGAGTGGGGAACATGAGTGTGTGGAAAGAATGAAAAAGAAAAAAAGATGGGTTTACGTGTGCCCCCTCTTGACAAAACAAAAACAATAAAATAAAAGAAAATAATAATATATATATATATCTATATATATGGGGCAGTGTAAAAGATGGGTTTGAAAAATAATGGGTATGAAGGATGTGATTTTAGTGGGAGTGATGATTATGCTGGGTTTGTGTATCAGTGGCGTGCGTAAAAGATGGGTTTGATTATTAAAGAGAGAGAAAGAGAATGAGTTGTGGGATGAGGATAGTGGCAGTCCAGTGAGGAAAAACAAAATTAAAAAAAAGAAAGGTGTTGATGGGGGAGGAAAGTGGACCTCTCTCGGTGGGACTATTAAAAAAAGAAAAAGCAAGATGGGGGATGGGTTTCGGCACTTTGATAGCCTGACCAGGGGCCTTATTGACCAGAGCAAAGCTGGGAAAGCCCTCTTCATCCGTCACTCGTGGACGGATCTGCTCATCGTTGATCCAGTGCTGGAAAGGATCGGAGTGATTGGAGCGGGCAAGGATGACCTGGCCGTCACGGATAGTGAGAGAGAAAGTACTCTCTGCTTGGGGGACAACCCTAACAGTTGGTATGGTTCGCCTGGGCCGCCTCCATACACAGTTGGTGGCGGTGGTTCGTAATATGACGGCGGATGTGGTGGTGGAGGCCCGTCGAAGGAGGGTGGCGCTGGTGGTGGGTACTCTTCGTCTCGTTCTTCCCTGCGGATTGGGCACAGAATCGGTCGATCATTGTCAAGAGGCTCAGTTGGGTGTTCAAGGGGTTTAAACTCAACTGCAACTTCAATCCCATGAGCAGCAGTTACTGCTGCACCAGTAATAACTGTAGCTGCACCTGGAACCTCTGAATTAGAGGGCAAAAATTCCCTCTCATCAATTGCACTTTGGGTTCGTCGGTGAATATTTCTGTTGACAGAAAATCTAGAGAAGATACCCACCATTCTCGGCTCTTCACCTCCCCAACAACAAAACAGTTCACCTAAAAGGTCGAGCTCTGATCGTGTCTCTCTCTCTCTCTCTCTCTCTCTGTTTTGAGTGTAGAGAGAGAGAGGGGAGACCATGCCCGAGGGAGGGGCTAGGACAGTGACTGAGATAGAGGAAGCTAGAGAATGTGTAGAGGTCCGGCGGTCGGCCAAGGCAAGGCTGCCGCCCGCCGGTGAAGCAGAATGACCAGGTTATTAACCTTGCTCTGATACCATGTTAAAAAATACTGTATTATTGATTGATTGATTGTAAGATTGTTGTGTAAATTACAGATGGTGAGGTACTAATTATATAGGAGAGGATTGGGGAGTAGGTGAGTGTGTGTGGTAGGTGAGTTGAGTGGAGGTGGTAGGTGAAGTGGGTGCTAGTGGAGATGGTAGGTTGGTAAATTCTAACAAGGTGCTTGTGAGGCCTTAGGGCCTACAGATTTGTGATGTCTAACCATTGATGCTTACCAGACTTGAATATACTTACAAAATCTTATGCGTCTGTGTAACTCATCAATTATGTATACATCTCCAGTAAATTTTAAAATTTTGGTGACTGCATCTTGATTCCATCTTGCACTTGCAAAGAAGTATCGGAACCATACTGCAAGGTAGCTTATGGTTTTGGATAGGGTTTTGACCCAAGCCAATAAACTTTTGAGAATCTTTAACTTTATAATTAAAGCATGGAATAAAAGTCATTGCAAAACTCTAAAAACATTACGTAAATAAGGAAACAAGAGGCTGAAAGTTGTCACAAAACTCTAAAAACATTAGATAAATGGTAAAACTGCTATAAAGCTAAAGATTCTTGAAAGTTTATTGTCTCGGATTAAAACCCTATCCAAGAAGTGCACCACTGAAACATAAAGGTGGCTGCTCGTTATGTATTACCTTTGTGTCAAGGCCATGTTCTTTAGCATACTGATTATAGTTTGAATAAACAGATTTTAATAACTATGGATGCTGAATTTTCATTCTGCAATGAACTTATTTGATACATTATTGATTCAATGTTTACCTGTTCATGCAGTTGAGTGAGAAGAAGGCAATAAATGATCGTGAGATTCCACAGCAACTAATTCTCTCATGCATAGATCAAGTATGTCAGTGTCTCCAAGCCACTATAGAATCATTAGTTCCACTTCCCGATGCTTCTGAAGATATCCTTGATTTCATTGTAGCTCAAGCGGAACTGCTACTCCACCTTATTAGATATGTACAGAATAACCTGTCCTTGTCTTCTTGTGTACTTGTCTTAAAAACTTCTGGTTCTGTCCTTAAAGTGTTGAATGACTTCAGGCCATTGGTTTTGGGTGTTAAAGATGCAATGAAGCTTTTACTTATGTTGCTTCTCTTATCTGTTAAGTCAAGTCACAAAAATTCAAATTTTGGTGGGGCAATGAAGATGGAATCTATTGAAGCCATTGCCGAGGCATCGAATGCGAGTTTGGGCCTACTACCCCTTCTTTGCAACTGCATGGAACCTGTGAACATTGCACCCTCTCTCTGACTATTATTGATTTAATTCTGAAAGGTTTCTTGATGCCTAATACATGGTTCCCCATCACACAGAAACATCTCCAATTGCAACATCTTGTTCTGAAGCTTCAAGACAACAATTCTCGTACTTCCATCTCCATAATATTGAAGTTTCTTCTTACTCTTGCACGAGTTAGAGAGGGTGCCGAGATGCTTTTCGCTGCTGGTTTTCTTCCTTCTCTGAGAGTGTTGTTTGCTGACTTATCAGAAGGAAACTCTTTTTCAGCGATTCAAAGTGAAATGAACGTTGTTAACTCATCTGACAAAATTGAAAAGCCCCAGGACATATGGGGACTTGGCTTGGCTGTAGTCACTGCAATGATTCAATCTTTGGGAGACAGTTCTTCATGTGCTGATATTGTGGACTATGTGATCGTTTACTTCTTATCAGAGAAAGCTTATCTTATTTCTTACTATCTTAGTGCACCAGAGTTTCCATCTGATGATTGTGACAAGAAAAGGGCTCGGTCTCAGAAAATACCAACTTCTCTAAGTGCTCTTAAAGAAACAGAACATACACTGATGTTAATCTGTGTTCTAGCAAAACATCGGAATTCATGGATGAAGGCCATGAAAGAAATGGATTCACACTTGAGGGAAAGAAGTATTCATTTATTGGCATTCATTAGCAGGGGAACACAACGCCTCGGCGAATCTCATAGCGGAGCTGCACCTCTCTTGTGTCACCCTGTTCTGAAGGAGGAGTTTAATTGGTACAAGAAGCCATCGTTGGTTGACAGCAGAAGCGGATGGTTTGCTCTATCTCCTCTTGGATGTGGGTTAAATCCTAGGTTTTCGGCTGTATCATCTAAAACAACTGCTCTAGTAGTCAAGGATCAAGGAACTGAAACTACTGATCCGGCTTCTCATACATATTTCTCAGACACCATTGCAACACAAATATATCGTATTGCATTTCTTCTTTTGAAATTTCTGTGTCTACAAGCTGAAGGTGCAATTAAAAGGGCAGAGGAGGTGGGGTTTGTTGATCTTGCTCACTTTCCTGAGCTTCCAATGCCTGAGATCTTACATGGATTGCAGGTAAATGTTTACTCTCTTTCTTGTATTTACATACTTTCAAAATTGTGTGATGTTGGATAATGGGAAGGAGTGTACACACACAGCCTAGTGATTCTGAGCTACCTAGTTATGAAGTCACTATTACCACCACATCGAGTAAGTAGAAGACATTCAGTTGAAAATCTAAAAGGGACCACGTTAAACATGTTCTGGTTTAAGGTTTTTATTTTTTGGAAATCACAGATAATTTGTTAGGAACTGTTTTCAAAAACAAATTTCAGGAACTTTTTGAATTTTTAAATTCATCAAAAACTCTTCGAATTTTTGCTCTCTGTTTTAACACAATGAAAAATTAATATAAGAATGACAAGTGTTTTCAAACTTTGAATTGTTTCGTTTTTTAAAACACAAATAAATAAAAACAGAAATCGAAAACACAATCAAACAGGCGTATTGCTTTCTAATTGAGATGAAATCCATGTTTTCAAAGTTCAATTCTTTGGAATGCAGGATCAAGGGATTGCAATTGTCACTGAATTGTGTGGAGCCAACAAGTTGAAGCAGGTACCGTCTCAAATTCAGGGGGTGTGTATCTTACTGCTACAAATTACGGAGATGGCCCTATACTTGGAATTTTGTGTTTCACAAATTTGTGGGATAAGACCTGCGTTAGGACATGTTGAAGATTTTTCAAAGGAACTAAAATTCTTGATGAAAGGTAATCACCATCTCTGTTCTGCTAACAGCCACTCATAACATTGGCACTATATGGTTGTATTTCTGTTTTCTTCATTTTTGGTTTTTTGGGTTTTCAAAAACAAAAAAAGAAGTAAAAGTTCAAAGTCTCTCATATTGCATACACATCATTTTCATTTTTGTTCAAGAACAGTTTAGGCTTTTATGATTTGGATATTACTGTTATTCAGGCTTTATGATTAGCCCTAAGTTGTTTCTTGATTATTTTTGCAGCGACGGAGGGGCATGCATTTTTGAAAGGGTCAGTGAAGTCCTTAAATCACATAATATCATTTGTCTATCCTGGATTATTGCAAACCGAAGGCTTCATGTAAGATAATTATTTAGATTAAAATGTATATTAAGGGTAGAAGGTTTAGATGTTAATTCCAGCTGTGACATGTTCTCTTGGCCATTCTTGGATGTTATCTTAAAATGACAAACTTTGTTTTTGGCAACGAAATATTCTTGGGTATCAAATTTGTGGCCATACATGGTTAATGTAATGTATACTTCAATGATCTTTCCTCTCGTCTAGATGTTTATTCATATCTGTCTCTTTTTGAACGTGGACACCCTCTTACGGAGTCCCTTTTTGTTAACTTTGGTTGTCAATGGTCACATTGGAAAGAGTTACTCAAATTTGACTTTGTTGCAACTCACTTCCTCATGGAGTGGACATTGTTGGAGTTGGTTTTGGGCTGGGCTTGCACTACCTAGTAAAAGATCTTGTGTTTGCCTAAGTGTGGCACATCCTAAACATCGTACATATATAGCCAACTTAAACCCAACCCTATCGGGAAACACATTCACCAAATCTGTCTATTGGGCCTTCCTTTATATGAAATACTTAAAAATTTTATTTAAAAAAAAAAAAAAACACCGATCACCAACCATCAAATCTAACAGGTAAGAACAAAAAATGCAATATAAATTTTTTTATTTTTTAGTACGTCAACTAACAAGAACTAGGGAAGAAACCGAAATTTTCAGCCCAAAAATTCCACTTGACAGTTTAATAATCCATGGTTTGACAATTAGGTAAGATTAGAAACAATTTTGAACTACCATTCAGAGGATGTACAAGAATGGTTTAGAAATAAGTTGGCCCAGAAATTCCAATTGATAGTTTAATTGACCATGGTTTGACAATTAGATAAGATTAGAAACAATTTCGAACTACCATTCAGAGGATGTACAAGAATGGTTTAGAAATATGTTGCAGCGAGAGATAATAATAATAGGGAAGTGATTGAGACTTCCTCCAATCACCACCCCCACCATCCCCACACACACGTGGCGAGTGGTGATTGGAGGAGAAGGAAAAAAAGAAAAATTGGCCAATCAATGAGAGAGGGGTCAAAGGGGGTGCCTCCATAAGGGTCCAACTCATTTTTCATAATAATAATATAAAAAACTGAGGTAAAAACGACACAAATTCTACATAAAATTTATGTTTTCCAACATGTTACATAAATGATAATAATGATAATGAGGATGCATAACTAGTGGCCCGGGCTTGGTCAAGCTGGGCTATGAGGTGAGTATAATTGTAGAGGTTGTCAGAAGCTATGAAATAGAAAGTTATTATAATTATTATTGTTTAGACTTTTTGTATTTTATTGTATTTATTCTGTTAGGATTTTTTTGATTTCTAGCATTTGGGAAAATAAAAAAGCCTACGGTTAGGCTTAATGACTTTTGTTTGTATCTACAAAGTTGTAGTCTATAAATTGGCATTGATGCCAACATAATAAGAAAATGTAAATTCTCTCCATCTTCGTTGCCTAAACTTTTCCTTGTTCTGTTTTTGTTGCTTAACTTGATTAAAAATAGCAAAATAGAAATAATAGAAAACTCCTTTCCTTTCCTTATTTGCAATTGGTATCAAAGCTTGGTAAAGAGCTTTTGAAAGAAATATCAAATTATGTAAGTATTTCTATCTATGTTTAAATTTTGATAAGTGTGTTTGGTGTGCTTAATGATATAATTAAAAATAAATAAAAAAATTCGTCACTTTTAGTTGTTAATTGTGTATCATTTGTATTTTATATCTTCATAATTATTCGTTTCATTTATAATTGCTGTAAAACTTATATGCTTAGTATATGTCAAAGCCCATACACTCATTAAGAAGTTTTGATTGTTGGCCATAATTAGGCATTTTTAAGTCTTTAAGATCATAAAGAGAGGTTTTAGGCATCAGATAAATACGCTAGGAGGGTCTTAGGTACCAACAACAATCTATAATGGTAATTAACCCTGAAGATATAATATGCTTTGGAAATACAAAAAATAATGTTAATAATAAATATGACCATACTTTGCATATTACCAAAGAATCTGCAAATATAAATAGTGTGTGTTCTAATTTAAATAATATTACTGATATTATGTGTTCTTGGTTTTCTAAATTAGATAAAAATCAAAAAATAAATCAAAATTATTTAGAATCCAAAGTGGAGTCTATAGAATCTAAAATAGACAATTTAGGTTCCATAATAAATATTGGTTTAAACAAAGAAGCAAAAACCCAAATAAATAATTTGGTAACAAAATTAGAAACTATATCCTTCATAAACAAGGATGGAATGAATAATCCCGGAGATAACTCAATTTCTAGGCTATTTTGGATTATTGGAGAAAATTATATAAAAATCTAGATTTAGGTATTGATGAAAGAAATAGGCTACTATATCAGATAAGATAAACTTATCCAGAACATGAAACCCTTTTATAGCACTTTAACTATGATATTAATATGTCAACTAATGATGATGATAATCAATCATTCTTTTCTAAACAAATATTAGATCAAGATGTTTCACTAGAAATAAATAAAGGAAAAAGAAAGGTAGAAGAGCCAATTGATCCTGAATTGTTTGGCACATAGGGAGATGGAGAAAATTTTGACTTTATTCAAACAAATGAAATTAAAAATGATACTAACACTGGAAGTACTTCCAATCCTATACCTGAGCCAATAATATCTAGAAAAGATAATAATCATAAGTATCCAATAGCTCAAAATGATACTTATTTAGATTTGTTTCATGTTCCATTTAAGGATCAGCCACAGGCAATTGATGATTGGGTATAATCATTGTCCATCATAATTATCAATTATAAAAATAGTGGGTCAAAGGAAGAATTCCTGGATTATATTACAACAACCCTCCAATGAGATATGTTGCAATGGTTAAGACAGTGGAAAAAATCTGAAATTGAAAAAAAGTCAAAAAAACAGCTTTATTGGAAAATTTTCTCACACTTGACACAATATTAGCTGAGTTTGCAAAAATCATAAAAGAAAATTTATGTGATTTTGCAGGAAATACTAATATGCAAGAAGATGCAAATTATATTTTGACTAAATTAGAATTATGTAATATTTGTCTTTTTGAAGACTGCGTTCAAACTTTTAAAAAATATTATTATCTTATTGATCCACCAGCAAATCAACCCTGGTTAGATCAATTTTTTCATAAACATCCTAATTTATGGGATGAGTTATGTATTAAAATATATCCTGACTTTCTCAAAAAAATAGGAAAAGAAGAATATAATAATCTTGGTTTTTGCATTAATTATTTTCTAAGACAAATAGCAAATCGGTGTCTAGATGCAAAGGCGAAAAAAGAAATAAAAAATCAAATTTTCAACTCACAATATGGTCAAAAATGTTGTGATAAAATTTGAAAGAAAATTGGAAAATTGGTTGTAATACATTTCCCAAGCGAAAAGGATTTTCTAAAAAAAGTAGAAAACGTAAATGAAAACCTTAAAAAAAGAACAAAACTTTTTCAAAAAAGAAAAGGTATATTCGAAAAAAGAAACCAACAAGTGTTTCAAAAAAGAAAACTTCTAAATGTTACATTTGTAATGAAGAGGGTCACTATGCACCTGATTGCCCAAAAAGGGGAAAATGTGCAAAAAAAATTATCAAAATTCTTAAAGAACAAGATTTTGAAATAATATATGGTGAAGAAATTTCTAATGAAGAAGAAATCTTGTATGAAATTTCTAGTGATGAATAAAGTTCAAATGAAGAACTAATCTTCATGATGACTAATATAAATAGTCGAGAAATATCTCAAGAAGCAGATAGTATATCTCAAGAAGAATTACAAGTAATTTGACTCGGAGATGTAATCGGAGAAGAAAAAACTTTTATCAAAAAAAAATTAGCAAAATTCAAAAAATGCAAAAAGTTGCTATTCCAAAAATTTACAAACTTTCAAAATTTAACTTCTTCTTAGCAAGAGTGTTTGAATAATATAGTGGCAACACTCCAGCAAAATGGTCAGAGGAAGGAAACATTGATATTACCTTTTTGATAAGAAAAAGGTTGCAAGATGGAAAAAGAAATATCCTAAAATTCAATAAATTCATATTGGATTAATACAGGTAACCATAACAGTCTTATTCTGCCAAAGGATAGATACTCCTATTTTGGCAGTAATCTTTGATAAAAGATTTCCTGATCCAATGAAAGCAATCATTGGAGGAATTCAATCTAATTTAGCTAATGGAGTAGTTTGGTTTAATGTTAGACCAATTTTTTTTATTTTCATAAATAATCCTAATCTTGAAGACATAATTAGAATAAGAATTAAAACACAAGGATTATGAATGAAATCGAATTCCCATGATTTGGCTGTTCGTTGGAAAACAATTCACGAATTGACCAAATTTCCTGAAACAAAAACAAGATCAAACGATAATAAAATCGTTGAAATCTTTGAACCGAGACCATTTGACACAGTAATCCAACCGCGTCTAATGAATTGGAGCGATTTAGAAGTCTATTGACAATGGTTAATCCATGACCTAGTGGAACAAAGAGAATCTTCTAAAACAAAAAAATTCTGCACAAATACAAATGCAAGCATCAGGAAAAAAATTATATGTTCAAAATACAATTCAAAAAATTAAAAGATCAACTTCTGTATTTGAAAAAGATTTTTGTAGCAAAGTATTTTCAAAATTAAGCATTGGTAAATCGAGTAATAATTCTAATAAAAAATCTATTACTTGAACAAATGTTCAGATTTCTATTTTTCCAAAAACAAGAAGACAATTTGAACATATTAAATCTACATATATGTATCATTTTCAAACAAAAAATGATGATATTATTTTTTCTCCTAGCCAAGAAAAAAGAAGATACACATATGCATTGGGGACATTTAATTTTGCAGGTTATAAACCCTATAGCCTCAGTGTTCTCATAGATATATGAGCTACAATCAACTCATGTAAATGGAATGCCATACTAAAAGAAAAATGGACATCAATGAAACATCCAATTTTGGTTACTGGAATTGATGGCAACCATACTTCCATACAATTCAAGGCTAAAAAAATAGTTATTTGGTTAAATGATAGCAAGTTCATTATACCAAAAATTCTATGTTTTCCTTATATGCATAGAGACTTCCTTCTTGGCAATAATTTTATATATAAATACCTTCCAATGCAAATACAGGAAAAAGCCATTTCTTTAAGTATAAACAATCTCTTAATTCATA